TTTATCTGCCTTTCTAATAGTTTGGACGTTACAATCAGATTCATGGTGGCACAAACTATTACATTTCACCTTTATCATATCCAACAATCACTTCTCTCTCATGAACGTCGTTTATAACCGCCGGACAGCTTGTTGCGTAATGAAATTCAAAGCAGTCTATCGGCTCTAGGGATCTCACGCTCTGTTTACTTATATTTACATATATTTATGTGGATTTTGTTGTTCCACAATAGGCAAACAGGCATGATGGATGTATGGCTGCGGTCCCACTGGGACACGTGGCTCCCTGCAGAACTGATCTGTGGTCAGCCAACATGCATCTTCACTGTGTAGTCTGAAGAGCCTCAGTCTGTTTTTATTACAGTGAAGCCTCTTCTTCATGTCAGCTTATTGTACTGACAAATAAAGACACAATATTTCCTCCACAGTAATGTAAATTAGACAGTATTGCACAAATGGTTTTTGTAGAAGTATAGTATTATGTTGGAAAATGTATATCACAATATACTTAAATATATTAATTTGATTTTAATGTTCACATTGAACATTTTTCACAAATATTTCAGTCCACAAGCAAAAGTAGGATTTATGGGAAGATGTCAGTTAACAGTTCATTGTTTATTAATCAGGTATGTTTGCATCCTGGGAAAACGCTGCAGCATTCTTCACAATCAAATGTGAGAGAAATGTTCAGACCTCTGCTTTGTATACTCCCCCTTTAATTTGAAGCACTTTGATTAATCAATTAATATTCCTTTCTCAAGGTCTTTTTATGAACCTCGTCATTAATAAAAGCAGACATTCAATTAGCAGCCAAATCTTGATTGCCAATTTTGTCATAACAGTCTCCCTTTCTATGCTTTTTTGTGGTTCGTTATAGTTGGGAGTATGCTGTGGGTAGGAAGAATTAACTAATTTCATTAATCTAATTGTCATCGCTTTCAACCATCCCACTAATAAGTACAAATTAATATGATTAATCAATTTGACGACATAAACTCATTCAATTACAGTTTTTCAAAGGCGAGTGGGTGTGTTGGGTGATAGGGAGGTGGGCAGCCGAGCAGCTTGCTCTGTGAGGAGCCCAGCCCACAACATTGAAGTCAAGTCAGGCAATTAGTCATTGTGAATGATAAATAAATAGTGATGAATTGTGGCGGGCAGATACATAACTTGGTTCCTATTTGATTCAGTGAAATAAGGTCCTTTTTATTCAGGAAAAATTCAAACTATAGTATAGACTTCTTAGTTTTTTATACCAAACTATGCCAATTTTCTTTCATGCATTTAATATTAAGACCATGGTGGTACAGTATGTTTTTTATAGATTTAATGCAGAAGCGTCTAACTCTATTTAAAATTACAGATAACAACTGAGAAACTAATACTAGATTATGGTTTTCATTTTCTTTCCTTATTTGTTGAATTTACACCATTTAAGTTAGGTGTCAACTTCTCATGGACCCATGGGTGGCACAATATACAGTAAAATGCAAGAATAAATATATGTAAACAATATTTTGTTGGTGTAATTGCCACACTATTTTTCTTTCCTCTTATATAGGACTGGAGAATGCTGCTATTATGTGCTGCATGCAGTGTATTATAATGCATTGTTATTATAATACACTGCAGTAATAATAGTCCATCCAAGTGTTTTGATATTTTATTGATGAAACACAATGTGTATTACTTTGAATTAGAAGTGGGTGATATGCATAATATATTCTATCACAAAATGTAATTGTATAGGTGGGAAATTGATTTAAAAACGTAAAACAACTAGACTATTATGTCTGTTTCTTTCTAATCCACTATTCAATAATTAAGAAATATATATATTATATATTTATAGTCTTCAGATAATGGAAAATGTGAAAAAATCTAAGTTGTATAATTTTTTATTCTCTCACAAGTTAAAGATATTGTCGTTAAGCACAATCCTACTAATGCTTGTCGAAAAGATGATGTTTAAAACAATAACAATGGCTCTGTTCGATTAAAGTGTCCCAGTAAGCCATGACAGTCTGACAGTTAGCCAGCATCTACCAGGACCCTGATCCTGAAGCAGCTACATTAAATTCAGCTTTGTAAATGTTATTATTTACACCTTTGCATTTTTATCTTTTTATGGGGCTCCAGTATTCAGAGGACTTTGATTATATTCTTGGCAACAATGTTACATAGAAAAAATCTAACAACACATTTTAATACCAAGCCTGATAACTACATGTTAGACATAACCAGCATTACAAGGTCATTGATTTGATTTTTTCTCTTTGTGTTCCTCACTGTAATTGCCCTTATTTATATTAGACTCATAACTATTCAAATATAAGGAACCCCTGGAACTAGCTTAGATTTACTTGGAGCAGCTGCTTGAATTAGATTTGTATATTTCAGATCTACTGTGCAGAGAGGAAGATGTGCTGGCGCAGCGTTTTGGGGTGATGCCCTTTAATGCACTCTATCTTATCATCCCAGAATCACCCTCTATTCAAATCAGTGTCTGATTGAGCCATGTGATTTTGTTTGGGTCTTACATTGGTAATAGTTTATAGAGGCACCGTCTCTAATTTGTGAAGTGAGGTATTATAGAGGAGACAATTAGACCGAGATTCGATTGGCGTATGGAGGCTTGGATGCTGACAGTCAAGAGAAGGCTTTCAAATGTCATACCAATTAATCTATCCAGCCATCAAACAATATTCTGGAAACAAAGTCAGGGGGGGCGATCAATCCGCATCACTTTTCTCCTCACCGGGTTATGGGAAAATTGATTTGTCAAACAAAGCTTTTTGGAAGCAGTGCATGGACTTGTTCGGGATCCATTAGCCTCCATTGAGCATTTTGTTTAACATAGGATTTTCATCACAGAGAAAATGCAGTGTCCTCAATACTGTGAGCTACAACTTTACGATTTCTGATTTCTTTGTTCTTGCTTAGAAAGCTTCAGAAAGTGCTGATGAGGATTTAAAAGGGCTGGCTTCTAAGGCATTCGAGAAACACTTCAAATTGTTACACTACACAAATGAACAGTATAACAATCAGCCCTCTTCTCTTCAAAAAGCACCACACATTAGTCCCCAGTATCAGTGTTATTGTACATTGTGGGGCTATCCTGCCATCCTATACAGCGTGGCTGCCATAAGCTGTATCATGAATTCCCTGTGCAGTGTATTGTTCTAAGACAGAACTGTATCACATTGTGCCCGTCATGCTGTTTTAGAGGGGAGAGAGCTTCCTCTATGGGATTTCTCCCAGCCTCATCCCCTGATAATGTATCTCTCCCTAAAGGCTAGGCCTCCGTGACCTTGTCTTATTCATCGAGGGCATCTTAAACGAAAGAACTGAATCCTGAATGGGCCATTTCCCCTCTTTTAACACCCCTTTAATGTCATCAGTGAAATATGAAGTCATTAGGCGATATTAAAACACTGCTGACAAACTAATTAACGGGAGACATTAAACAGGACGGGCTTGATTAATCCGCTTTAACGATTCTTTTTAAGTGGTTCTGGTCAAAATTAATACAGATTTACTGGTGATCTTAAGAAAAAAATACTCTTATGTGTATCAGACCTCAAGGGCAACCTAAAGTCACTGGTCTTTTACCTCCCACTGCTCGCCCTCCCACCCTACTGTACCCTCCCTGTTGCTAAACACAGTCTGAACTCACACAGTTGGTCTCTGACTACAAACTACTGGAGATTGTAATATCGTATACATATGAATGCGGTAGGCCTACAATAATTGTAATGCTGTTTTCATTATTTTCTCATAATGAATGTATTCTCTTCAGAGTAGTTACATATTTTGTTGTTGTAAATTAAAATCACGTTATTTACTTTCATTATCAGTCTGACAATTATTTTCAACCGTAGCTAATCCCAATGAAAAATGTAAGTTATAATTATTCATAATATTATTTATTTTTAATTAGTTTAACATGAAGCATAGACCCTTACTGTTTTTGGTTTGTTTAACAGCCGAATGTTCCTTGCTGAGAAGAAATGTCTTTGAAAATGTCTCCCTCATGTGGTATAAGGACAAAAGGCTTGGGCCGCCGTGAACACCATAACTCTATGGTGTATAAGTGTATAATTATAAGGTGTATATAATAAAAAAATCAGTGATTAGAAAACACCTCGTAACCTGAACCCGTACACGAAAAAATATATAACAACAATAATAAAATGTAATGCATTCCATTCTGTATTAAGTCCTTAGTTTTGTGTGTGTGTGTGTGTGTGTGTGTGTGTGTGTGTGTGTGTGTGTGTGTGTGTGTGTGTGTGTGTGTGTGTGTGTGTGTGTGTGTGCGCTTGTGTGTGCTTGTGTGTGCTTGTGCTTAGATTAATACGTTTGACAGTATAATGATAATAACTTCAGATTGTATTTTTATGCTGCTGCAAAGCAAGCATTTCCCAAATTGGGATCAATAAAGTACTTCTTATATTATCGTATTATGAAAAAAGTAGTAAGAAATGTATATTTAAACATAATTCATAATTGTTTTCTATTTGTTGATATAAAACAAATTAAGTCCCATTATGTTATTTTACTTAATAAACATGGTGATCAACGATATCAAAACGAAATTTGTTCATTTTACATTTTACATAATGGGATCCATTCGGATCCATTGAACATAACATTCGGCAACATATCCTACCGGAAGTGGTTGTCTGATGTGACGTGTTTCCGTCATCAGTGAGTGCGCTCTAGCATCATGTTTAGCATCGTCCGCGGCTCAACGGTTTTGTAAATTAAAATACAAATACGTGCGTATTACGATATAATATGATAGTGTTCCTTTCTACAGAGCTGGCGTGTATGCATTGTGTGTAATGCAACCAAGGACCGTCGGGACAATAAAGTGAAACATTAGCTATAGTTATTTTTACCAGGTAGGTTAACATTAGCTGTTAGCTTTTTTTCAGGCACTCCGGACCGGCTGTATGTGAGCACAAAGGCCGAGTCCATCGCCACGCCTCATAACCATGTATCCCTCCTGGGGAAATTATGGGGCACCCCAATCGCAAAACTTTGGAGGGCAAGGGCCCCGTAAGCAGCCCGGTGGCGGAAATATCGGCCCTGTGGCACCGGGGTTCGGTGGCTTCGAGGCCCCATCAGCCGGATCCATGTTCTCCAGCCTCCAGGAGCAACACTTGCAGCAGATGCAGCAGCTGCAGATGCTACACCAGAAACAGCTCCAGTCAGTGCTTCACCACGGCAGTAATGCTAATGCTAATGCCAATGCGTACAGTGGTGGAGGTGGAGGTGGTGGTGGTGGTGGTGGAGGTGGACATAACGTTGGTTATCCCGGGTCATCGTGGCATCCAGAAGGTGCAGGACATTCAGACAGCAATGCTGGAGCTCAATCGTACTATCAACAGGACGAGGCGACAAGAGGTCCCCCTACACCTCAGACGGGTCAGCCACAGCCTCCTCCACTGCCACCGCAACCGCATCCCAACGACAGCAAACCGGTACCACCCCCTCCAGAGCCCCAGTCATCTAAGCCACCGGAGAACATCGCTGCTCCCAAAGAAAAAGAGTCCAATAACAAAGACCCACCCACACCAGAGGACGACAACTCTCTACCATTGCAGGTAATGTCTTGTATTGTTTTTTTGTTTTTGTTACTTAATCTCACCACTTTGCTGCCAGATATCACGACCGAAAGACATCGTACTGTTTCTGTTGATTTTTACTAAAAACGTTATCTAGCAGTTAAGTCACATTTGTTGACACTGAAAATATCTCTCGTTCCTGTGACAGGATGTGTATTTTTGGTTGAAACCAATATACAGATATTGCATCCAAGCATCATCCTATATATGTCAAAGGCGGTAGATAAGTGAATAAACACATACATGGAAAATCAGACCACTTGGCATTAATTGTGTTGTATTCCAGGGGTTCCCAAAGTGGGGGTCGCGAGACCCCGAGTGGGGGTCGCGAGATGATTACAAAATAAAAATGGATTTCGTTTTTTTTTTTTTTATAATTTTTAAAATATATATTATTAATAATAACGTTTGCATAGACATTTTTTTCTTTGACAATCCACTAGCGCAGTGTTTCTCAAACTTTCTCCTCCCCCGTCGACAGGGGGTCGCCGGTCTCTGGCACTGTTATTTTGGGGGTCGCGGGCTGAAAAGTTTGGGAACCCCTGTTGTATTCAATAGCAGACCGGACCACTAAAACACAAAAACACTGGCTGTGGGAAAGAGGGATGCTAGCTATTAAACATATTTAATATGTGATAAATGTTTAGACTTTACCATGTTATGTTCTTTCTAATCAAAAACTAACAGCAGATCATTTCAATGTCAAATCTCAAAGTATAATAACTGAAAGTACTGTTGTAGTGGCTGGATGAAAAGAATATGGATATTATTCGACTCAAAAACATTTTGTTTTCTGATATTTAAAATAACATAATAAATAAAAAAGGAGCTGCTGTAAGGATTCAAAATCTTATCAGGCATATACAATTGATTCAGCAGTATAGCCAGGTATTTTATGTATTTAATGTGGTCAATATGAAGAGTTTTAGAATGTGCAGTATTTGAGCATACATATTGCCCCAACTGGTTTACTATAATTTTTGTTTTAATATAAGGGAACTATGGGCAATTAAAGAGTATTTAATTATTTGAATGTTTTATAGTAAATCCGAATGACTCAAAGCTTAACTAAAAAAGGAATCTGAAGGCACTGTTTGTTTCAGGGTTTGATCATAAAATATGAAAGTGTAATCCTATGTCCCATTGAGGGACGAATAGACACCTACAATGAAAGTATGATTCCACAAATATTTGCTGTGTTAAGGCGAGACACCCAGGTGAATAGGGTACTTTTTTTTAACTTAAAGATATCAGCTAGACATTTACCCAGTTAATTACTTACAATAAGGCAATTGTTTTTTGTATTACAAGTTTTCTGAAATAGCATGTTTAAATATACAAATGAGCCATTATCTCATTAAATATGCGCACATTTTAACACATTTCAGGAACCGAAATCTGAACTTTGGATAAAGCTAGGTTCAAAATTCTTATTTCATTTTGTAGTCATATTAGTATCTAAGGCTTTTACATAAGGGATTTTGGATATCTCAGGGCTCGACATTATAATTGGCCCGCTGGCCCGGAAGCACTATTTAGACACCCCGGGCCAGCATAACGTACTTTCCACTTGCCCGCTCGGGCCACTAAAAATATTGTTTAAAAAAAAATGTTTCCTGTGGTATTGGTATTTTGACTATCAATTTAGTTAGGGAAAAT